TGGGGCTTCATCTATCCCAGCATTTGGGAGCTCATATTCTTCTTTTGGTGGTGAGTAATTTTTTGAAAGGGGCATTTACATACATACCACTCATTTCTTATACATTTACATATCTAAAACCTAAACTTTACTTTTCTTTTAGAATGTATATCTCTCGGATCCATTATATCACATAAAAGAGGCGACCGTTTTAACTTTCAAAAAGTGAAATACACCTTTTCATTCTTGAGTAAATTGGCATACATGTAAAAATTAAAGTATAGGTGTTAGGCATGTAAATGCATAGGAATTGAGTGATATGTATCTAAATCTTCCTTTTGAAATGTTTTTTTGAACCGCTGTTTTTTGATGGAAGTATACATGAATTTGAAGTTTCGTAAGCCTAATACTTTAATGAATCTCATAATTTAGGTACGATTCATTGAATATTACATCATGATTTGTATTTTCTAGCTGTGTTTTAGTTCCTCTCCAATACCTCACATACATATTCAAACATTTGATGCACCTTTAAGCATTCATATGATATCTTATTCCACTTAACCACCGAATTTTTAGTAGTAAATTAAAGCTTAAGAAGCAGTCATGGACAATACTTAAAGTATAAATTCGTTGCCTCAGATTTTGTGCAAAAATTCACAACAGTCATATATGTCTGGACTTCTTATTATTGTTTTATTACTTTACTTTAGATATGCCTTATTTCATCAGACTGCTATCAATATATGCTATTTTTTTTAAAGCTATAGTTTATGTCAATGGAATAAATTTTTTTTTTTTAGGCTATTTTGATCAGTTAAGATATGGTAATGAACAAGATTTCTATGTTCATTATATTTTACGTACTTCAAATTTGGTGAATTATTTGGTAGGAACCATTTCCTTTTCATTTTATTTATGCACATGATAGTATGAAATCATAATAGTTTATGTATAACATGTTCAAAACCTTCTTTGAATTTTATTTTCCTTTTTTTATTGTTGTGAAAACGTTAAATCTTATGCCAGTTTTAGAATCTGTAGGCACCATTTCTACTATGGATAGCAGCAAGAAAGGCTGTATATGTTTGCAATGGTTATCTGAATTTTAAGAAAAGGAGTGCAAGCACTCTTACTTTTTTGTGTCGAATGTAGAAAGTGTTTCAGTCAGCAGTTTTTTGCATCCTAAGCTTTTTTATTTCTTTGAAAAAATTATGCTTATCACATTTTCATCTTTGAAATACTGCAGTAATGTAAATATAATAATAATATTATTTCTTCTTTCAATCTTTGCTTGTAATTTGCTAACCTGTTTTTTTTTTTTTTTTCATGTAGTATTATGTTATTTATGATAAGCGATGTTTGATTTGATGTTTTTCTTTCACATAGAGGTAATTTGGATAACTTTGGTTTTTTAAGATTCAGGTAGTATAATTGTCGCAAAAGTAGATGCTATGCAAATTATTCCAATATTACCTGCTCAAAAAGTGGAATATCTTTAATCTCTCTTAATTATTCTAAATATTATATTATTTATTGAATAAGGTGACATTTTAAACCTAACACACAACATTTGAAAAATAGTTCTGTTATTTGAGTAGCAGTTTTATCTGGATAACAATACAATCTAAGTAACATTCAACCAAAGGCACCCTTTAAAACCTTTCATCTTTTGTCATTTGAAGTCAGTTCTCTCTTATAGGCCTCACATCTAAGTTTCACATGCAATTTTTTAATTTTTGGTATTTTTTGCTATTTATCTTCCTCATTTTTTGCTATTTTTGGGCAAAAACCAGCTTTTGGAGGATTTGGGTCTACTTCCAGCCAGGCCAGTCCATTTGGCGGCTCATTTCAACAAACACAGCTAGCATTTGGAAGCAACCTGTTTGGTTCTTCTTTACCATTTGGTGCTTCAAGTCAACCTGCATTTGGTGCAACCAGTACCCCAGCATGCCATTATCCCAGCATTCGGTTCAACAAGCGCACCAACATTTGGTGCAGCTTCTGCCCCCACGTTTGGTGCATCAAGTACCCCGGCTTTTGGTGCTACCAACACTCTAGTTTTCGGTTCTAACACGGCGCCGGCATTTGGTTCTACATCAACCCCATTATTTGGTAATACAGAAATGGCATTCGGGGCATCTAACACCCCATCATTTGGTGCTCCAAGTATTTCATTGTTTATTTCTGCAAGTACGCCAACATTCGGTGGATCAACTACTTCAGCTTTTGGTTCTTCCAGTTCTCCAGCTTTTGGTACAACAAGTACATCTTCCTTCAGTTTTGGTTCTGCGCCGTTTTTTTTTAGCCAGTCAACACCCGCATTTGGGAGCTCACCGTTTGGCTCAACGCCATCGCCTTTCGGAACTCAAAGCTCTCCATTTGGTAAATTTCTTAAAATATCATTTGTTTGGTATTCACTAGCTTATTTCTATAGTCAATTGGGCTTGATGCTGTTTTGGCTTTTGTAGCTATTTAAATTGTTTTGTAAACAGTTTTTGTTTTTCCTTTTTTATGAGGTTTCAATTATAGAAATGTGATAAATTATTTTTACTGAATTGTCATATTTTCAATGTTCATATTCTTACTTTCTTTACTAAACGGTATATACTCACTCTGAGCCTTTGTATGCTTAATATTATTCAGGTGCTCAGACATCAACACCTACATTTGGAAGTCCTGGTTTTGGACAATCAACTTTTGGGAGTCAAGCTGGAGGCAGTAGAATAGCACCTTACACTGCAACGTATGAGCCTAATGCTACCGGTACACAACCTGCTGGAAAGCTAGAATCAATATCTGCAATGCCTATTTACAAAGATAAAAGCCACGAGGAATTGAGATGGGAGGATTATCAACGTGGTGATAAAGGTAAGATTGTTGAAAATTGCATTACATATGGATGTTAGCGGAAATTTTTGTGTCCTGAGTGTCCTAGCAAACATTTCGAGAAACTTATAATGAATCGCTGTTCATGATTTTTTATTTTAGATTTTTGTGAATAAGCACAGTGTAGAATAATAGTTTAAACTGCAAAGCTAGTCAACTTTTTTCTTGAAGTCATAATTTGATTCATTGATGTTATATTTGTTTTTATGAAGTAGATGTGTGTATGTATGAAGTTATATGCATATTGATATATGAGATGAAACCGTCTTCTTTTAGAAAGAGCATGTCATTCTGACTCCTAAACTAAGTCTATTTGAACTAATTTAGGAGTTGGCTCTATAGGGCCTAGTTTTTTCTTAATTCGTCATTCACTTTTTTTTGTTTTTATCACTATTTAATTGTTGTGGTTATACCATTTTGATACCTCACAGTCAACTAATTAGTTCAAATAGACTTAATTTGTTACAGATCAATCTCAAGGAACAACAAATAAATTGAACCACACCAATTTTTATTTATTTATGATCCTATTTTTTATGGCCAGATTTTCATTATTAAATCTTAGTTTTAAAATAGCTTGAAATGCAACAAGGAAAATGAATCCACAATATTAACTAGGGATTAATTTTTTGTAAATAAGATCTATTCTATCTAATTTTTTATGATTGATTAGACTATTTAAATTATGAAGATTACCAACAACTTTTGTTTTGCCTTTCTAATTTTATTGCCTCAGGATTCGACAACTTAGTGTCTTCTTATTCAATAGTAATATCTTTAGGATTCAATGTTTGCTATATTTTTATCTAGTTTTCTCATAACGTACTTGTATTTTTCATAATTATGCTACATATCCTATGACAAATTGATAAAAGAAAAATATATACTATTTTGTATTCAATCTCACAAAATTTGTGTTTTTGAACTAAATGTTATCCTCTTTTTTGTTTCAGTTTTACCTTTATTGAAATAAGTTTTGTATATTTTCCTTTGATGCACCCTTTGTCATAATCTAATTTGTTTGACACACACACTTTGACAATGAAGTTGAGCCTAATATATTAATCCACTGAGAAATTTATAACATCATATCAAGACACGTCATTCAACTTAACGACAAAGCTACTAATAATTAGAAAATTTTCTTTAGAAAATTGCTCAAAATAGTTTTTTTGTCAAAGCACATAAAATATTTTATCACACACAAAGTACTCATCAAAAGTACCAATCAAAATCTTTAAGTGTGCATTTTGGGTGGCGGTTGCTTTTTGTAAGGTCAGATGCAATATCATTTTAAGAAAATTTAAGATACATCTCTTTTCATTTAAAGTCACCAAAATATGGCTTTCACAGCCAAACATTTTTTTTGTACTGCTTAGACAACTAGTATAGCTAGAATACCTTGCCTTATGTAAAATTTTGTTTTGATCTCAAACCATCTAGCACACGAAGATGACTTTTGAATTTCATTATTACCACATCGTCAATGCTGAACTCCTCGTGATCTCACTCAATCATTTTATTGAATTTCTCACCTTCCATTGTATAATTTTTATTTTTCTCATAATATGGCTTAAACATTTAGACTAGTTAAGTCATTTTTCTCATACTGTGGCTTAAACATTTAGACTAGTTAAGTATTATATGTTATTTTTCTTTTGCTTTGACTACTAAGTGCAATTTCATGCTATTTTTCTTTTGCTTTGACTACTAAGTGCAATTTCTCTATTTCTCTTATCAATGAACTTGCTTAGAGATTAGTAACTTGCCAATAAATATAAACATGATGTTAAAAATATTAGCTATAATATCAACTTCATCTGAATAGTATTGAATGCCAAGATCTTAATCTTTGTCAATTCTTACGAACTCTTCTACTTTATGCTTAGTTGTTGTTATGTGAATATGTAGTTTAAAATCTTGTGTTTGTAAGTGAATACTTCACTTGTTCTTCATACAAATGAAGTTTACAGATCTTCAGGATAAAAATTATAACAAGTGAATCCAGATTATAACTTGGATATTTGTTCTCAAGTTTTTATTTATTTTAAGTCATAATCTATTACTTTATCACACTGCATTGTAACATGTCTTAGTCCTCTTAGTAGCAGATCACTGTAAATTTGGTATCTCTTAGTTTTTGTTGGTATGGTTATTGGTGGAGTTATGGCTAAACAATCATCTAAATTTTGAAAACTTTAATCACGGTTAATGGTTTAACATATCATTCATATATTATTATTTAGTAGGTTAGTCGAGACAACGGTATGGAATTTTGCGTAAATCTCGCACGAAGCTTTTATAGTAACTTGCTAGACCCTATAAACATTGAACTTCCAAAACACTAGTTTATATTGGCTTTTTGGGATTGCCTTCACCTTCAGAGAACAATGATATGCACTAGTACCTAATTATGTGCCTTTAGAAGATAGCACCATTCAACCTTGCCTGCATTGGTTGGACTCTAGCCTTAGATTGTCCTCCTTTTTGAAATGATGGTGCTTCTATCCTTTTATAGGCTTTCCTCCTCATTTGATGGACACTTCTGCTATTATTTTTTAATTTTGACATTCACGATACCGTTGCATGTCCTTGAGAATATTTTTTTGGGTCTTTTCTATTGCTCACCAAAAGGATATTGTTTAGCTTAATTTCTAGTTTGACGAGTTATTGTCCATTCTCAAAATAGCACTTATCACTCGATCTTTTTTCTTACTACCAGTTGAACAAGAAAATACTGTTCTTTGATCAAATCAATTAGATTTGAACCTTTCCTTCATTAGACTCTCTAATTGGTATTAGAGTCACCTTTCTCTCCCCAATATCCCATCTTTCTGGAGTTGCTAACAAATCATTCTCAAATGGTCTTGTTATCTCTATCAACATTAAACACATTCTAGATTTCATGTTACTTAGTAGTTGCTAAGCGGGATCTTTCAAGCCTCAATCTATAACACTCGTTTTCCAATTTTGCTAGTGAAGATTATCACACAAGAGCTCTGAACTTTTTCCTGCAGTTTACAAAATTTGAATCACTTTCTCAGCCTAGTTTAGAAGTTAAACTTAGGTGAGTCAAAATCTCAAGGTTGATCGTCAAAAGTGAAGTCACCCAAAAAAGAAGTTCCTTGAAGAAAGATTCTTCTTTCCGTCCCACCAGTCAAACCAGTAGCTAAACAAGCCAATAATATTTGTCTTTGTTTTCATTAGCAACCGGAGCAAAAAACTATGGCACCCACTCATTTCCTTATACCAGTATGACTCTTGATCTGGATTTCAGACTCTACTCACGCGCAAAGAGGGTTTCCCAACCATCATTCCTGCATCAAAAGCGAGGAACAAAAGAGCCCTTTAGATTACCAAGACAAGTTTTCACAACTCAACACAAGTAAATATGGAATGCTCAACTCGTGATCACGAGCATTATTTTCATGTATTCTTTTTGTCATGTTTTTTGGTTATTTTTCCTACTTTATGAAGTTGGCAGTGGGACCGAAGCATTGCTTGAAAATTATCACAAACTCGACACAAAAAATAAACATTAGATTTTCATCTAAACCTATTATTATCCTAACCTTCTCCTATGGGTTTACAAATACAACTAATAATACCCTTCCACAATTAACTATGAATTGCAGAAATAATGGATGAGAATTGGTAAAATAACATAAGCTCATAATAATATAATATATTACTATCAAATAATTTAATTAAATACATTTTAATTAAGTAATATGAGCTACTTTAAGTTTAATATAAAGCCTTTAAAAAATTACTTCTTAAACAATCGACAAATATGTTCATTAACATAAATAAACGAGTTTGTTCGTGGTTAACCTTGGTTCATTTAGCCTCCAAGTATTTAAAAAACATTCAAATGTATTTAATTTTCAACTTGAGTGGGTATTAATCAAATCGAGTTCAAACTGTTCATTGAGTGCATTGGTACACTTTTAGCCTTAGAGACTATAATAATTTTGAAGCAATTGAGATGTAATTTATGTCCAAGTGATTTCACCATTTTTAGTCTCCAAGGGAGAGTTCTTCCTTCTCTTGGAAAAATGATGAAGTGCAATTAGCTAATTAGTTCAAATAGATTTTTATTATCATAGCTCAATCGGGGCAACAAAATTAGTTGAAGTATATTGGATTTCATGTCATTGTATGACCATAATCATTTGCTACTGAATTTCCTTATTTTTTTAATTTAAATTAGTTAAAATATAATAAAAATATGGGGGGCTCATTCTTAATCATGATTTATTTTTTATATGAATAGGACCTCATGTTGATTGACGTATATTATTGATTGAATTATTGAAATATGTAGAATTTTTTTAGAATCGTCTTAATTTTCTATTTTTATTTTATTGAAAATTGTATAAGTTGATATGTTGCTAATTTGGCATCAACAACACAATGATTTTTTGTTTCTAAATCTTTCCTTTCACTTTTTATAAACTTGTAGAGTACCCCAAGACACCCATGTTTCTCTATCATGTTATACATCACTTCTACTTCATTACCTACAATATAGAGATCTCATCTATTTTTTTTTTCTCCATGATTTTGTAAATATTCTGAACTGAGGGATGCAAGGGTTTTGGCAACGATCTCATTCATAAACTAACCTTGTTAGGAAAATTCAATGGCAATTTTGGCTCAAACTAAGGATTAGCGGTGGAACATTATAGATTCAAGTTTGTGTATGATAATATCACACCCCGTGTCCATAAGATTGTACCCTTCGACAACACATGACGTGATGAAAAAAAATGAACTTATTTTGCATTCTCAAAAGAAATGATTGTATATTAATAATAATAAAAATAAACAGAAAAAAAAATTATTTTATTTCACAAATAAAAGTCGTATAGTTGATACAACTGAATGAAACAAGGGAATAACTGAAGAAAATAGAAATAATAACAAAGACAATTATCCAAAGCTTAAGAGGGAAAAACAAATAAACTAAAGCAAATATTATAAATACCAAATAAAAATCTAGATTTTTTAAGTGTGATCCTATGAGCCCAGTCCTATAAGTAAAAAAGGAAAGACATCAACAACAAATCGAGGAAGAAAAAGGAAAGAATCGTGTATTGGGGAAGTCAATTCGGGATGGGCAATTCGGGAAGGTGGTGAGGATTGCGATAATGAGTGGAGAAGAGGAAAATTTCAATAGGTTCTTGATGTATGGGCAAAAGTTAGACTCAAGCGTCAGTTAGCTTGTTGCAAGACCTATGTTTGTAGGGAGGTGGTTTTCTTGTGAGATTTGTTTTATTTATGATTATATAGTGTTTCTTTGGGATTTTCTCTCATTTATGAGTTTCTATTGTGTGTGTTGTATTTTCTCAAATAATCAAAGATGAATGAAAGTGAAAAAGATTTTTTTTACCTTCTTTATTTTGGCCAAATGGCACTTTACTATATTCTTTTTTCCCCACTTGCTTCTTGTTTTTTTGCTTTATTTTCTTCTCACTCTCTCTTGAGAACTCATTGCTATTGCACCCATCATTTGTTTATTTATTTACTTTTAAAGTTCCACTTCTTTATCATTCTTGTTGATCCATTGAAGATATATTTGTCGTGCAATATTTCTTTTGGATACTTGAACGAATCTCTCTCGAGCCTTTTCCTTCTATTTATGTATTCTCTTCAGAACTTGGTGGGTGATTGTGCTCATTTTTATTTTTATGTTATGTATTTAGCCTAGGGTTTATATTTTTCTCAAAGATAGGTTCTTTGAACGCATGATCACTTTTTTTTTTTTTTTAATTCAACTTCATCAGTTTTATTTTGAGTTAACCATTCATGAGTTAAAATTGAACGATATATATAGATTCATGTCAATATGCAATTAAGGCCATGTATTTGGTATGAAAAATTTTCCAAATATTATCTAAAAGCTATGAGCACCAAGATATTAAGTTCCATGTTATTTGAAAGGTTATATGCAATGAAATCTTAAAATTCTTCTCTTGCTGTACAAACTGTTAATTTATTAACTTTTGATGGGTGGATGGGGAGGCTTTTAATATACATTTGATGCATTGGAGGAAGGTTTTTAATATGTATGAAGTCATTTATGCCACTGGTTTACCATTGTTGAATGGGATGACCTACCTTAATCATTCACTCAATGTGCTTATAAAGTTTAAGATATGACGTTTAAGAAACATTTTAATAAGAAGCTAAATATGTTGACTTGGAATCTTGAAAGGAAGAAAATTAAACTTTGGTTGAAACAATGGCATGGGTTAAGCCCTACTAGTTTAATGTGTTTTGTGTTATGTTCAAGGAGTGTAAAAAAGTATGTCAACTCAATGCCCACCTTTTTTTTTCTTAATGAAATCATTCAAGTTATTGGTATGCCTCTTAACATTTTCCATGTCTTAGTGTTTGTGTTAGACATGTTGCTTGGCATGCTCAAGAAAACCTTTTGGACGTGTTAGTGACACCACCTCAATGAAAATTTTGATACAAGATTTTTCTTTTTTTCTGAAGGCTTTTAGCCTAGATCAACTTGATTTTCTAGATTTTTATGCTTGATAAATCTAAAGACCAGAAAGGTATCAAAGCATTATTTGTGTTGCTCAAGCAAAATATTTTAAATGTTTGGATTAATTTAGTTGAGGTAAACATGATTGAAATTTTATTTAAGATATGTTATTAGATTATTTTGGGATGGTGGATGAGGAAGAACATATAACAAAGGATGCTTGAAATATATAGATGTTAGGTTATCTTGGAATACTAAGGGATAAAGAACATAGGAAAGAAAAAGTTTGAAACATGCGAATGTTAAAGTTTATCATTATAGTAGTTTATTAACTACCGTCCTCTTCCCAGTAGGGGTATAGATGAATCAAGCTCTCGTGTGTTGTTCGGCTTGGCTTGTTAAGCAAACGTGCCAAAATTTTATGTGAGTTTTTCTCATCAGCTTATCGAGCCAAATACCCTCTATCCATGAACATAAAGTCTATTTGAACATCTTATGTAAATTATAGAATATAGTTGTAGCCATGTATATTTGCAAATATCCATGCAATTATAAATATCTCAGTGCAAATATACACAATCTTTGTAAGTGTCCATGCACACATGAATATATATGCATTTTTTATGTATAAATAAATAAAATGAAGTTATTATAAAACTACACAAGAACAAACAGGGCCCTATTTGTGCTTGGTTTGTTAAACATACAACTTTAAAAAAAAATTAGTCTAACTTGAGCTAATTGTCAGGTGAACACGAAATCTTTTTTGACAACAATACATAACATCAGTTTTTTTTTTTTGTCCCCCAATGAGATTGACACAAATTTCTTTTCAACCTTTATTGTTGAAAAAATGAAATGGCATTGCATCTTTTAGGATGCATAAGCATATCATTATGATAATTCATTTACATTATTCTTTTACAAAATTGGTGAATAGTGCAAGATCTAGGGTATGTTTGGAATGCCTCTAGTCAAGGTTACCTGTTTATTATATCCGACCTTCAACATAACTTAGATGGATTTATTGGCTAATTTTTCTTATCCTATTCCTAGCCCCAATATTTTGACATCCATCTCCTGCTTTCTCTCCCCCTGTACACCTTATCTGGCATTCTATCTATGTTTATAATTTTCTTTTGTAATGTTGACCTTCACCTCATAACATATATCGACAACATTACTTATGATCTCTTATATTAGAATATTTGTGTTGCATGCACAAAATATTTTTTGATGCAATAGTCAAGTAACAAGGCCTATATAGATGTAAGCATGCACATATTCAGGTATTTAAGTGCATTTCACTACAAATTTTGTAATGATATTTGAATTTCTTCAATACTTATCTTGTCGTAGAGTACATACATTACTGTTCTTAGGGTCTTTTAGTTTGCCTATGGCTCCTATGCTTTGTTTTTTTGGGTGAAAACTGGCAATGGCTTATTCTTGTTGCGGTGCAATCTGTTCAAGTATGAAGTAACACAGGTTCTTTTGGTCTCTGCCACATGTAGTCCTTGGTGAAGTAAATTACACTTGTAATCTGATGTTGGTAAGGAATAGAGCTAAAGATGACTTATCAACTTGTTCCTTACCTTGTAATGTTTGAAATTTAGGCTTCATGTTTGCAATCATATAATTGTGGACATAAATTACATTACCTTTAGAAAGAAAGAAAGCCACCAAAATAAAAATTAAAATGTATACAGTTTTCTGCTAAAATGTTTCATCAAACAGATTCTAAGAATTCAAAATATATGTCTGTGTAGACTTTGGAGGACATTTCTACTTTTTAACTTATAGTCATTTCAATAGAATTTTTCACCATTTTGTGATGCTATACTTATCAATACATATGTTTAATATGTTTGAGAGAGCCTTTGATCGATATACTTGTACTAGGAATGCTCTTGTTATTAGTACTTGATTGTTTATGATTTACTGATGCATTTTGCTTACTACAATTGACTTTATATTTTCTATTATTTTATTTAGGTGGGCCAATTCCTGCTTTCTATCACTTTGTTTAGGTGGTCCAAATCCTGCTGGACAATCAAGTGGAATAAGTTTTTCGATATCAACACAATCGAGCCCATTCAGTCAAATGAGTTTTTTTGGTCATACAAATCCATTTGGTCAAAGTAGTGTTTTTCGTCAAACGAGCGCATTTGGTCAGGCTGCTGCTAATCCTTTCTCATCCACCATCTCTTCAAATCCTTTTGCTCCTAAAACTCCAGCTTTTGGTTCTACTGGTTTTGGATCATCATCAGCTTCGCTTTTCAGCTCACCATTCTCTTCATCCTCAACAAGCCCCTTTGGCTCAACATCTTCCACCCCTTCACTATTTGGGGCACCTTCATCTAGATTTTGCTCTAGCAGTTCATCCTCTATTTTTGGTAGTGGAAGTGCTTCGGTATTCGGTTCGTCTCCTTCTATTTTTGGCTCCTCAATGGTGGGATCCACTTCTTCCTTTGGATCTAGTCTAACTTTTGGTCTAACTTTTGGCAACACTCAGTCTTCTGCGTTGTTTTCTTCAACTGCTTCTCTTGGTCAAACGCCTTCTCCCTTTGGGCAGTCTACTGGTTTCCAACAGAGCGCGCCAGCTTTTGGTTCAAGTCTATTCAGCACACCATCAACCGGCTTCGGTGGAAGCCTATTTAGCAGTTCAACAACTTCATTAAGCAATCATGCAGGATTTAGTCAACCGACGGTAAGTGAAATTTAGCATTTTTTCCCATAATTTCTTTGAGGTTAATGTAACTTTTGCTTTAATTTTTGTTCTAATATGTTATAATATATATATATATATATATATAGTCATCTCAGGCACGGGTTTGATCCTCAGTGGCGTTGGGTTCTCGAATATTTAGGCACATGGTGCGGGCTCTTATCATAGGGCCTAGCGCATGGGAAATCAGTATTTGGGTCTCTGCCAAATATCGATTTCCTTTTATATATATATTAGTAAGGAAACCCGTAGGTGATTTTATTGCTCAAGAAGTAAAGTTACATGTTTTTAGGAGATTGGATCCCATTACAGATCAAAAAATACAGTACTCACTCATAGGGTTCTAACTCCAGGTGTACAAACTCACCCAAAAAAGTCTCCAAAACAGATACAAGTATACCACAAAATGTCTACAAGGCAAAAGAAATAGCTAAATCCAAGCAAAGAAGAAGACCAAAAAAAACGTGCCATCTTAAGAGAAAGGTCTAAGGTAGGGCATATTGAGATTGTACCCCATTAGGAGCAGCTTAAGATCATAATCAGGCTTGGTCTTCAAGATTATAGCCTTAATCTGTGTAGCAGATTTGGCAAGTAAATTTGTTGGCGTTTTAGTTTACCTGGGTGTGTAGCTCCATGTGATGACAATATTTGCTGAAAGTTGCTTAATCCTGCATAAATCAACACTTAAATAGCATAAATCAACACTTAATCAACACTTAAATACCAAGAAGGTTCTTTATCATTCGCCAATAAGCCCAACAGAATAGTTGAATCCATCTTAATTTGAAAGAATTTCCAATTCATTTTAGCTACAAAAGATAAGGCCAACCAAGTAGCATATAACTCTGCTGATAATGCACAAACAATCATACAAGATGAAGAAAAAAAAACATAATAGTTTACCTAAATGAGACCTGTAGACCACACCTGCACCTGCACAGTCAGCCTTCCAACTATCATCAATATTTACCTTAATCTAGGGAAAGGATAGTTTTTTGCAGCATACAAGTGCGACCATACAAAAATTTAAGCCTTGTATGTCATAACCTTACCAATCATCCCAACTAACAAAGAAGGATGGCTTAAATTTATGATAAATAAACAGTTTATGTATATAAGATAGGATATTTGAAATCACCCTATCCTGCTTAATGCAACAATTCTCTTGTTTGTGTGAATTTCTTGCTAACCAAATAAACCAAATGCAGATGAAAGGAATGATGTTAAATATATGTTGTTTATGAATGGAATGATGTTAAAGATATGTTGTTTATGAATGGAAAGACGCCAATGTTCGCTGTACTGTGACAAATCTGCCCAACCCAATGGAGGGCTTTTGATAGCAGCCTGATCACCTAAAACTATCCATATTTTGACAGAGCAGGCACATCCAAAAAACACATGGTTTACGCTTTCCTCTGACTTGCAAAGCAAACATTGTGGGGGAATTCTCAATCCTTTCAATTTAAGAATATCATCTATTGGAATCAAACCAAGTAAAACTTTCCAACAGAAAAAAGACATAAAGAGGATCAAACATTTATTTTAAATCGCACCACCCTAGTCCACCTTGTCCCAAGTGTAAAGTAGGGCTTGTCAAAACGGCTCGTTGTTCACGAACAGCTCGTGTTCGGTTCGTTAAAATGTTCAACTCGTTTGCTAAACTAACGAGCCGAACACCAAGAAAGATTTGTTCGTTCGTATTCGGCTCGTTTTGACTCGAAATACTAATCATCAATTATATATATATATATATATAGTATTTTTAAAAAAAAATTAATTGACTATAAGGCTACAAAAACTTATAATCAATTAAAAGCATTAATTAAAAAAATAGAATTAAAATTATTAAATTAGATTCAAACGATGTTTTAATATAAATAATAACTTTTAAATCTTGTCCCAATCCTTAACATCTTATCACTACGTGATTAGGGTTGTCAAAACGACTCTTTGTTCGTGAACACCTTGTGTTCGACTCCCTAAGCAATCGAGCCGGAGTCGGACACGAACAGGGGCCGGC